CATTTTTTTATTTTGAAATAAACAGTAAAAGGGTGATTAGAACATTGATTTTGGAAAGTGATAAATGGATTAAAGGGCCAGATGGATTTGAAATAAGATTTTGAAATTAATTGTAAGAATTCTTCCTGTGGGATGTTTAAAATTCTATTAAAAGTATATGAAGATTTTGAAACTAAGTGTAAGAAATCTTCCCATGAGAAAATGTTGTGTATTAGAGAAAAACATTGTAAGAGGGGACTTTGAAGGCTGGACACTAGAGGGAACCAGACAGACCTAAAGATTATAATTAAAGGAAAAGAGAACCACTAATACAGAATGGAGAAAAATATTTTAACTTTGGAAGAATTCAAGGATTTTTGGGAACAATGTACTCAGAAATTTCTCTTAAGATTGTCTGCTACCATAAAAATGAGTTTAAAAGAGGAGATAGAAGAGGATAAGATTGAGACTGAGGCTGTGTTGAATGTGGATTTAAAAATGACAAATTACAGGAATGATATGGAAAAAGATGTTACACTGGATTTACAAATGAAACCAGCTGATGTCTTAATAACTAAAAGGGAGACACAAATAATAAACCAGAAGAGTGACTTGCACAACTTTTTTATGTTGGACTTACAAAACAGACAACTAAACTTATGCAGGAGTTCTTGAGAAAAGACAACGAGAAAATGAAAGGAAATCAGCTTTGGGGACACTATTTAATGGGATTAAAGATCAAGATTTTCAAAAGCAAAAGGAAGGAATATAAAGTTGGCTTATTAGATTAAGGTTAAAATATATGTTGTTATTTCTGGTAACTCTTAATGGATTTTTGCTGATTAGGACTGGAATTAATTTCTTTATATATCTTTTCTTTTTTCTTTTCTTTTATGATTTACTATTTTTTATTTTTCTTTCCTTTTTTAAAAACAATTTCTCTACATTTTTTCTTTTTTTCTTTTTACTTTTATACATTTCCTTAGTTTGTATTAGTATTTTATCTTTATATCTGTAAATTTTAATAAAAATTGTTATTAAAAAAAGACTCCACAGAGAAGAGAGAAGGGTATATTTGTTCAAGAACTTGAAATCTCGTTTTGTGGACAAAGTTGAGTAATTATAAAGATTGTGGTTATAAACATTGCTTTTTTATGAGGGCACAGAGAGATCATCATTATATAAGGATAATTTTAACATTCTGTCATGATTTTTCCAAAAACTTTATTGTTAATAAAGCTGAATTATTTATTCCAGCACTGGATATTTCGTACATATGAAGTTAACTTACTAGCAATCCAATTTGGTGCAGACTGAAGGTGATTTGATAGAGACAGAACAGTTTAAAAATGGTGATAATCACTGTAGCTTGTCAACCCAACTTTTTTTATATATATTTGATTTTATTTCTAATGGCTGGAATTACTTTTAGCAATTCTGGAACGTTCCCTGAGTTGTCCTTTCATAAATTAAAAAGGCCACATAAAAATAAAACTGGTAAGGAGAAAAAGGCCTTTCTTAATGGGTGTGGACGAAAGTTCAATGTACAAACCAAGAACCAGTCAGTGTTTGCTATTAATTGAAACTGTGGATCTGCTCTAAATCCCTGAGCATTTTGAGAGCGTTGTTGTTGTTGTTGTTCAGTCATTAAGTCGTGTCCGACTCTTCGTGACCCCATGAACCATATCGTGCCAGGCCTTCCTGTCCTTCACTGCCTCCCTGAGTTTGCTCAGTTTCATGCTCATTTGACAGTGTAGACAGTACATTTTGAACTGTCACAATATTAAATAATACACCTCTCCATGACTTAGTGGGATCATTATTAAAATTGCTTTATAGGTCTCCTACAAGTTAGAGAAGAAGTGCTGGGGTTAGTATCAATACTGCTGAACTATCTGTTCCTGTTTAATGTTACTCATTTATGAAGATGGGCAGTGGGAAGGAGGTATAAAATTAAAGAGGGATGAATAGTGATGTAGTAGAGAATTCCCTTTATAAAGCTCCAGCACATAATATACTAGCTCACCAATAGAAGAGAATATGTGTAACTCCAGGTTAAACTGTGGAGTCCTTGGGGTTCTCTGAGCTTGGTTGTTTTCGTGCAAACATTTCGTCACCCAGCTAAGTAACATCTTCAGTGCTAGCTGAAGGACTCCACACTCGCTCACAGTAGCTTCAGTAGCTTCATCAGGGCTGCCCTCCACTTATTCTGTGACCACTACTGTATAACCATAGCAGGAATATGACATTAGAAAAAAGTGGGCCCAAACAGTTTTTCTGGGAAGGAGGAGATTGCTAACAGAAGAGAATATATGTAGCTCAGGGTTGCATTGTGGAGTCCTTGGGGTTCTCTGAGCTTGGTTGTTTTCTTGCAGACATTTAGTTACCTGGATAGGTCACATCTTCAGTGCTGCAAGGGAGTGGGGTTTGCTCTCTGTTTATATACAGTAGCTTGCCATGTCAGTGTTGGTGGGGGTATTGTTTTCTCCTTGGTAATTCCTACATTAGGCTGTTGTTTACTGCTTGATTGTCTGAGTTGGTAGTTCTTTGATTAGAGTATTTTTAACTGCTTGATTGTTTGTCTGGGGTGGATCCTGGTGATAATCCCTGCTTATCTGGGTGTTGATTGCCGGCGAAGTGGTGTTCTGGTCTTTTTGTTTCCTTTTTATTGTCTCTTTTGAATAGTGTGTAAATGTTGCTTCTCTCTATGTGCCTGTTGATGGCTGACTTATCTGAATACCAAGCTTCCAGGAATTCCCTCAGGTTTTTGGATTTAGCTTGATCTAAAATGCTGACAGTTTCCCAGTTGAAACCATGGTTAAGTCTGTCCATGTGTTGTGAGATTAAGG